AACTCTTAAAACTTCTTCAGAGTGACTAGAAATATGTGTCATGAAATATTAGTGGCAAAGCATTGCAAATGTATATGTAATTTGGAGTGTGTGTTATTTGCTAACATCAACTTTTGATGTGCCTTTGTTTAGGCTGGATTCACCAAAAATAAATGTAAACTCCATCTACACAAGATGGCACTAAGGAAAGATAGTTAGCACAGGAAGAAAACATTATGGAGGGAAAGTTTACTGTTATATATGCCTTCTACTTATACATACACATACTTGATCATTGATTGCCCCTAATACTGAAAAGTAAAAAAAAAAATCCACAAGTTTGCATAGTATAAGCTTGCATTAAGTTTCAATTTTCTAATATGGAAATTTGAATTAGAAAACTATCACCAACTTCTGCAATTAAGCAGAGTCTAAAATAATAAGAGTTCTAGATTGTGACCTCAAAACCATCAAGTCCATTTTCTCAATGAAACAGAAAACCAACAGCTGCATTATCCCTGATAGAATATCCACTACTTGAGGCAATCTCTTTTATTGGCGAACAGGTTATAGTTTAAATAAAATTTACTTTTTAATCATGTATACCTATTAATTCAAATCCCATTTTTCTGATCTGAAAATCCAAAATTGTTCCATCTTTGATGTGAAAATCCTTCAAAACTCCGAAGATAACTGCTATTTTTTTGCTCTTTTTTCTTGGCTAACATTATGCAATTCTTTCAACCTTTCCACAGCTATTAACTTTTTAGACCTTTCATTATCATTTTTCATGCTCTTGTTTCAGTTTAATAATATGCTTCTTAAATTAGACAAACCTTTTCCAGTGAAGTCACCTGTGTTTTTGATGTGTTACGCATCTCAGAAAGAGAAAGTAATATTTTGAGGCTGATAAAATATGTTTGGATTTTTAAGATTGTAACATGAGAATTCTCCAAAAAAAAAAAAAAAGACTGTCATGGGAGTTTGCTTATTTATAAAAGTACTGACATGGTTGAGCAGATGAAAGAATCTATTTACCAGACATCAGGAGAAATGAAAGCAGAAATAATATGAGGAAGAAGTCAATTATTTTAATTACAGATATCTAAATATAGTTACAGTGGTAAAGGACAACAATTACATAGTAAACCTTTAGATATTAAAAAAAATGAATCCAGAAGAGCAAAGACTATGGCAGGGAGGCCTCAAGATGTGAGTGGCCAAGCAAAGAAGGTTGTGATGATAGAGATAACGCTCATGGGATCCAGAATAGTAAAAAAAACCAAAAGGTAGCATAATATGATTAAAGTCCTCAATTTACAATCACAATTAGGACCACAGTTTCTCTTGCTAACCAAGCTGGTTGTTAAATGAGTCATGGGCAATTTTACCACATGGTTCACCACAATTGTTGAGCAACTCACTGCAGTTTTTAAGTGAATCACATAGTTGTTAAGTGAATCCAGTTTCTCCCATTAACTTTGCTTGTGAAAAGCTGGCTGGGAACGTTGCAAATGGTGATCATATGTCCCTGGGAGGCTGCAAGTATTGTAAATACATTCTGGTTGCCAAGCATCCAAATTTTGATCACTTGACTGTGAGGACCATTCATAAGTCACTTTTTTCTCAGTGTATTGTAACTTTGAACAGTCACTAAATGAATGATTGTAAGTCAAGGACTACCAGTAATAATAAATGTAAATTATTTAGACAACTGATACTAGTGGAGGTTAAACTGAAAGGATACCTCTACAAAAGAAAACTGCAGGAAAGAAGAATTTTATATGCAGAAAAATAAATTATTTACATTCCCAATTGATTAAGTAAGCAAGAAAGAAAATGGGATTATTAAAGAGTATGATAGGGTTGAATAACCTTGTGTTGAATACAATGAGATTTGAGAATACCACACTGTAAAACAATTTGTATATCTTCTTGATAATTAGACATTGCTTCAAATTCAAATCATAAAAATACTATGAAACTACTGTGATGGAGATGATAACATATAATAAGGCAGCTATGTCCAAAGTGGAGCACCTATGTCCAAATTGTTGAACATAGGAAACAGTGAAAGCAAAAAATGAAACTATTATAATCGGAAAGGCAAACAGATTTACTTAACTCACCGCTAGATGGCAAAGTGCAACAAGTTCACATCTATGACACTAGGCCAAGGTCTATACTGTATTCTATATTTGAGCTATTCACTTGCATACGTATTCCACTCCATACTAAAGATCGGTGGGCAAGAGTATCCATTACTATGGTAGGTTGGACTGCAATAATAGAGAAAGATGCAAAAAACTATTTGCTTCCATCTACTGGTAATCCAGATTTTTACCCATCATTTCACTTTGCACCAAAAAATATTATCAATGCTGGCCTGGATGGGAAACCTCTCCAAAACTTTGTTGTCATGAGAAAATCAGCACTTGGAGAAAGGTGGAGCTCATAGGATACTATACCAGTATATACTACCTACAGTACAATGTATCTGCCTAGACCAGGAACCCAGACAAAATTGAAATCCCCAAAAGGCATAAAAATGAAAAACACATGCTCATGGGAAAACTGCAAATTGCCACCAATTTGGGTATGCTAAGACATTGCTCATATGCCAGCCAAATCTTACTTATATTGTAGAAGCCAGTTGATCCCAGGGTACTTCTCAGAAAACACCACATCTCCTCTGGGAATTCCAAAATGATTTACATCATTTTTTTATATTCCTTCAGAGGAATATTTATAACACTACGCTGCAAACTATCATGTTAGAGCAAAATATACAAAAATATAAGACATCAGCTACATAAGTTCCTTGCTGGCTATTTACAAGTTACAAAACCTTTTTTGGAACAATAGTTAAAGTCAAAGAGCAACCAAAATAAATGTTTTTCAAACAGCAAAGGTAAAGTCTAGAGCTCAAGCTACAGAATCCCAAATGTCGTAATTTATTTGTGCATTATTCTAAATAATAAATCATGATGAATAACGATTCTAAATTGTTGCATTCACATGTCCAAAGGAAACTATAAGATGTATTATGATTCAAAAACATTTTATAATGTAATACATATGGCTTATTGTCAGCTCATCGATTTTAAGCTAAATGAGTGATAATTTAGCAACTTGCATAAATGTAGGTAATGACAATATAGGTAGTCCTCAACTTACAACCACAATTTGAATCCAAAATTTCTGTTGCTAAGCAAAACATTTGTTAAGTGAATTTTGCCCCATTTTACAATCTTTCTTCCCACAGTTGTTAAGTGAATCACTGTAGTTAATAACACGGTTGTTAAGTGAATCTGGCTTCCCCATTGACTTTGCTTGTCAGGTCGCAAGAGGTAATCACATAACCCTAAGACACTGTAACAGTTATAAATAGGAGTCAGTTCCCAAGCTTCTGAATTTTGATCACGTGACCACAAGGATGCGCAATGGTCATAAGTGTGAAGAATAGTCGTAAGTCATTTTTTTCAGTGGTGTTATAACTTTGAACAGTCACTAAATGAACTATCATTAAGTCAAAGGACTGTAATGTCTTCCAGAGACTTGCTGTGGGATTTGGGAATTGTTGACAGGAGTTTGTATCTTGCCAAAAAAACCAAAGCAGTAAACCCCACTGACCTGTTGCATGTTTGGTCTTTAACAAATGCATCAGGCAAAAAGAGAAAGGACTGGGGTGGGGTTTTAAATCTGCATATCAACTATATTCAGATGTAGAAGTATCTGGGCATTATCTGGATATTCAAATGTAGAAATATCTGGGCATTAGCCTTCAACATTAAGTTGTGTACTGCAGGAAAAACTTTTGTTTTACAGAATCCAAGGCAGAGTTCACCATGGAAAAGGTAGAGATTGATGCAATAGTCCAAACCCTCAACTGCCTCAACTCCTCCTTATAAATTAGACTCTTCCCACTTTGTCACTTCTCCCTGTGTGTGGCCTTCTTCTTCACTGCACTTAGCATGAGGCTGGTTTCATTACAAATCATCAAAGCTCCATTTGGGAACATTTGTTGCTTCTTTTCTGCTAGAAGTCCGTTGGCACAAAAATAAATTATTAAGATTTTTAAATTATTATTTTAGCTCCTTTTCATGATAACCAGAACAAGACGATTCCACTGAAAATTGTACAAACACTTCACTTTAGTTGGGATTTTTGACCCTTGAAATTGTTTTCATATTCTGATAGAGCTCAAATACATTAAATCTCAATTTTTTTATCTTTTATTCAATTTCTATAGTCACCCTTCTCAGTCAATGACTGAGCAGCTTACAATTCAAAAAATATATTAAACCTATTAAAAACATTTTAAAATAAAAACAGTAAAACATCTAAATTACATAGGAGCAAGGTATTTGGCCAGTTAGCAACATAGCCAGGAATGGGAAATTATGTATTATTAATCATTACTTTCCTTATTTAAAAGAAGTGTTCAGTTGCAAGGTGTAATTTAAAAAAGGTATGTAGAATGAAGTCACTTTCATTCAGTATCCGAAACAGAGCTGCAACATTACAAGGTTTGGAAAGTCAAGTCTGAATAAATATCCCTTTTTCCCGCTCCCTTTTCTGCAACACCATGCGGTTTGTAGTTAAGATAGCATTACATAGTCCCGATAGTCAAAAACACGCAGCAACTGGGACATAACTATTCCCCAGAAAGAACGGAGTGCCAAAAAACAACCCTCTTCTTGAGCCTTTATGCATCGCAAGAATACGCTGAGCGCAAAACACGACCGATCCCAGGCCTCCATGACTCCACTGTAGGGCCCACCTATTCCTTCCTTTCCCTCCCTCGCCACTTCCCTGCGGTTTACAATAACGGTTGCTATGGCGAACCGGCTGGGCCCTCCGACCAGCACTCTCAGTCTGAGCTGGGCATCGGGAAGGGGGTAGGGCGCCGGAGAAAGTCAATCATCAGAGAGGTGTCTTGCTATTGGCGAATGTTTTGGTCACGTGCCGGTTGAGCAGGCGGTATATAAAAAGTCAGGGCGTGGAGGTACCATCCGCCATTTTGTCCAGTGGGGGAGAAGTAAAAGACCGCAGAATCGAGTCTTGGCGGGAAAGCCAGCGACTCCAACCGCGCTTACGGGGCTGCAGGACGAAGTAGAGGAGGCCAAGAAGAAAAAGACTGGCAGCCGCTCGCGGGAGTCTTTTACACTCCTGGCCAGGAAACCGGTGAGAGAAAGGGGTTGGGTCGGCGTAGAAGGCCTCGCGGTTGTATTAGCGGACAAAGAGCCGCCGCCATTTTGTGTGATCGGAATAGCGTCAAAGATACTGCGATCTAGGGATTGATCACTTTACGTGGGAGAGGAGATGACTGATGGGCTGTTGTTTTTTTAACTATACTCACCCCAGGTGAAGGCGGCGGGGGGGATAGTCAAAGGGAGACGGAGATTGTGAGGAGCTTTTGTAGCTTAATCTTACGTTAAAAGCGGTTAAAAGCGCGCCGTTTTCTACGTACAATGTTTTTTCTTGCGGTCGAGCACGAGGTTTATTTAACTGTTGTGCTCGTTTGCCTACCTGATGAAAGGCTACCTGATGTGATAGTAGTTCGCACAGCAGCAATTGGGGGGGAAAACGTAGCAAAAACGGGAAAAGTCGCTGCTGATTGCCTTCCTGATTTTACATTGAGTTACTTAATTGCCTTCTCCAAATTCAGATCATTTTTGGATTTCAACTTACATCCAAAACATTTTTTTCGATAAATGTGAACAAGTATGATGAACTCGGAAGTTGATTGTTCACAGTGGTTTTTTAAAACTTTAGCATTATCTATAATAATTCTCTGTGAGATTTATAAGATTCTCGTTTGGTAATCAGGAGGCGGATTACCTTCTATGATTGCCGTTTTGCATGAATTTCAGAGATGCATCGTGATTCGTGCCCACTGGATTGCAAGGTTTATGTAGGAAACCTTGGGAATAATGGCAACAAAACCGAATTGGAACGAGCTTTTGGCTACTACGGACCGTTGCGGAGCGTCTGGGTCGCTAGAAATCCCCCCGGTTTTGCTTTTGTTGAATTTGAAGATCCGCGGGATGCTGCAGATGCAGTGAGAGAACTAGATGGGAGGTAAACTTATTTATGATTTTCTTGGGAAACCTCCAAGTCAGCATTCTGATTTTAAAAAATGTTCCTTTAAAAGGATTTTAAGTAAAGGAATTTTTGCAGAAAGTTCTAAGCACTGATCAATGTATGAATTGTTAGCTTGGGAAGATTTCAATTTGAAAGTACCTGAAAGATATGTTATTTTTATGGTGACCAGATTTTAAAAATAGTGAAATGTTCTATCATTTGGTATTTCGATTTGGCATTTAAAATATTTCCTAAGCATTCTTAATGCTTAGGAATGACTCAATCCAACCGTATTGCTGGCAATTATGTTTGCATGTTAATTTCTTTAAATATTAAGCCTTTATACTGAAAACCCAAAAGTGAATACAAAATAACATTTTGGATTTTTGTACTTGTGGCATTCTTCAATAATTAAATAGCTTGTATGTGAGCAATAGGACAAAGTAAATAGGTTGGCTTGCAAGATTCTGTGTTCAGATTATTCTGCCACTGACTGTACTGATAGGAATTGTCTAAAATATTGGAAAACATTCCTGTCCCTTAGTGTAGGAAATTGTATGAGCAAATGTCCTTTAATTGTTGGACTTATATCTATTAATATTAATCATGATCTTTCCCAGAACATTGTGTGGATGTCGGGTTAGGGTGGAACTGTCCAATGGTGAAAAACGCAGTCGGAACCGTGGCCCACCTCCTTCATGGGGTAGACGACCTCGAGATGACTATCGCAGGAGAAGTCCTCCACCTCGCCGCAGGTATGCAGGATGAAATAACTTTATTAATGATGTTGGCAGTGCTACCATTTTGGCAAAATAGACTTTTCAAAACCTGCACTGTCTATCAAACCACCAAATTCTAAAGCATTAAGCAACTGTTAGAAGGATACACTTTGTTGAGCACTGGCTTCTGTCCTTGTACCAATTGATAGTATCCTCTAACATATTCATCTAGTATATTCATCTAGTCACTTCCCTTTTTTGTCCCAGTACTTCAGCTTTTTTTTTTTTCTTCATTGTTGATAAACATTACATACAACAGCTTGGATTTTTTCACTCAGTTTGCTTTTTCTTTAGCACAAATGATGCTAAGCAGGCAACTGTTTTATGGATTCTGAAGCAATGAATAGTTACTGGGCTAAATTTCAACTAATAAAATCTGTTGAAATATTATTGCCTCATTTGAATTCTACAGTTATGAATTCCCCAAACAAAAGCAGATTGTTACTTGGTAATGCACCCTCTGACCTGGATAATTGATGAAGTGTTAAATACTCACTTCAGTACTTAAAACCTGATTTCTGCAAGGGCTGATCTCAACCTATTGCAGATGAATGGAGTCCATACAAAATAATGAAACCTGTTCCCTTTCACTGTAGAACACAATAGGAGTATTTGTTAGCTGCTAGATGGTTGTACTGATGGCTTGTTTTTCATTTTTTTATGCTTTTTGGTCCATCTATTAATAAAAATGAACCCGTTACAGAGTCACCATCATGTCTCTTCTCACCACCCTCTGAGTCTGCATTAGCCAGTCAACTAGCCCTTTCAGCGTCATGTGACCAGCGCGCCCCATTCAGCTTGGCTGGTGTCGTTTCACATGACCCAGGCATGGCCAGTCGTCAGGTTGCACCGCCCTTTGGTTCCCGAGCATGCTGTTTCTCTCAGCCTTCTCTCCAACCTTAACCAAATCGGCTGCAGCCACCTCGACCGCCCACACATTCCCGGCCAATCAGCTCAGCTGTTTATTTACCAAATGTCTTCACAACAACTACAGCAGCAGCCTTCGGCTAACAAAAAAGCAGGAAAAATCCACAACACCCCCTTCGCCAACCAACTAAATACAACGCAACACCTGGCAAAACCTTTTCAGCAAATTCTTCTTGGCAGTCAGTCCGGCAGCCTCACCTCACCATTTGTAGCTTGTTGAAACCAAAAACTAGTAAGTTTTTCCTGCTTATACAGTTTACTGCTGGTTAAAATAAGGAGTAAGCGGCTTATAAGTAATTATTTTTTCTCAATCAAAGGCTGGCTGTGCATAATTTCGTGGTAACATACATATGTTGCTTGAATAAAACTTTTAAGGGTGTTAAGGAATCTAATATAAATAACTAAGCTGCAGTATATTTGCATGTGAGTTGGGCAAACTTAATTGCTAACTGGTTTTCCTTGCAAAAAAACTGCTACCTCCTTTCACCTTTAAATTGTTTTACTAACTATTTCAGAACAATTACTTTATGGGATAAACTGGGCAAGCTAAGGTTCTTTAGACTAAACACTATGACCTTTTAAAAATTACATTCACAGATGCAGCTCTAATGAGTCATTGTCACTGTGCATTAGTCTTTCACTTGGTACTCTGCCTTGCATGGGTTCCAAAACACTAGTTATACCAATTTTGGAACTACTTATGGGACTTTGGTATAGTCTTTTAGGCAGTGGATTTTGTTGAGATGGAAGTGCTGCATTGGAGACAGGTTTGCTATGACATGGTATTAGTTAAAACAAACTCATGGCTGGAAACATGCTGATCACGCTGAGTCTTTTTAATGCCTGAATCTTTCCATTTTGCTGGACGATGGGTGCCATTTATCTTGGCACATTCACTGGGCCCAACAGTGACTTGACAAGTTGGGAATTACCTCACCTCAGTTGTGTTGAATTGATGAAAAGACTCACCTTTCTTTTTTTGATTGTAGATCTCCACGGAGGAGGAGTTTTTCCCGTAGTCGTAGCAGGTAAATTGTTGGTGCGGATCATGCATTGCCAAAGTATTTCACACATAGATGTAAAGAAACATTCCCTGTCATGAAAATGTTTTACAAATTGAGTTAGTCATGCAAACAGACTTACTTTATAGATCTGGGAATGGGAAGTGTAATGCACTAATGGTCCATACACTAGAGCAGTGTTTCTCAAGCATAACAATCTCAAGATATGTGGACTTAAAATCCCAGAACTACCCAGGCAGCTTGCTGGCTCTGGAATTCTGGGAGTTGAAATCTGCACACTTTGAAGGGGCCAAGTTGAGAAAAACTATAGAATGGCTGAACATAATTTACCTATAAAAATAGTTTTAAATGACCCTTTAAACTGACCTTTTCTAATTTTTCCAATTTGTTAAGAGGGAAAATTTAATTTTGAATTAGGTGGCTTCAGAATGAGATACCTTGTCAAAGATATAAATTGTTAAATCTTTGCTGAATAGTTTATTCATAGTTTATTCTGAAGTCATCCTTGACTTTTTCTGGTATTAAATATTCATATGGAATCTATTTGGGATTGCCAAGCATGAATCTGAAGCATTGATATATCACAGCTCTAAATCACTCTAGAAAACAATTTATATGTATACATCATGCCACAAGTGTTAATTGAAAATATTTAACACGTTTCTATTTGAGAATGATAAAACACTTATCTTCTAGAACAAGTCCTCAACCCCTGGTCCGTGAACCGATACCAGGCCACAGCATGCCAGAAACTGGCCATGCAAACAAGCAAAGCCCCCTTTGCGGGATGCAGGCAATGTGCAAAACCACGCCCCCTCTGATCCATGGAAAAACCTCCATAGAATCTCCCTGATGTTCAAAAGATTGAGGGGGGGGGGGCTGTTCTAAAGCTGATTTTTGATGCAACTTGCTTTATGATACTATTTCCTTTACAGATCCCTTTCCAGAGATAGAAGGAGAGAGAGGTCACTCTCAAGGGAGAGAAATCATAAGCCTTCCCGTTCATTTTCCAGATCTCGTAGGTAAGAATATATCCACACATTCAAATACTTGAGTGATTAAAAATATGTTAAAATGTGTTTTCTGTAAAAATCTCTTTGCCCATATAGAGGCCAAGTTGAATATTCATATGTAAACTAAACTTGCACAATATTTACATTATATTGAAATACAATTTGGGAGTCCATTTATCATTGACTAAATCTTTTGTGTATAATCTTAGCCGTTCCAGGTCAAATGACAGGAAATAGAACTTCAGGAAGAATGGTATACAGGAAGTCACATTTTGGTCTGAAGACAGTATGTACAGAACATTGTTTTGTTTAAGACCTCATAAAGCTTGGTGCATTTTAAAAATGTTTTAGCTGTCAAATTTTGTTTCTTTTGTAACAGGTGACATGTAACAGTTGTGAAAATGTATATGGTTTTGAGGAGGACATTCAAAGTGTAATAAACCTGTTCTACATTGTACCCTTAAGCATAAACTATGTTAATGTTAGCCAGTTTGCAGAGGTAAATAAATCCTCATGAAACCTATAGCAGCAAATGTTCATAGTCTGCTGGGTCATATTCTAGAATCTTCAAAAGCTAAACTCAAATTAACACATGAATTTGTAAATCATGATATTTGCTATAATTGTGAATGGACAATCTCTGCAGTATGAAATGTGGAAGCTTAATTGGCCAGAATAAACCAGTGGCAAACAAGAAGATTGAAAACTTGCAGTTAGCCTTTTTTCTAAATCTGAGTTCTGATTTATGCCAGAATTACCATTGTGCAAAATGTAAATTAAATATTAACACCTTTTTCTGTAGAGCACTACTGCTAAAACAGATTTGTAATGCAAATTAACTGTTGATTTGGATAAGTACATATATATAAGGGTACATTGTAGATAGAAATTTTCCTCATTGTGCATAAGTTGTCTTGTCACTGTAAACTCTTGAAGATTAAAGTTTTTGTTACAAATCGTTCTAAGAATTTAACTCGTATCTTGACAACCATTCGTGCAAAATAAAACATGTAAGTTGACTTAGATATAGCTTAATTAAAATCTGTTAATAGTTTGAAGGCACATTCAAACTTAACTTCCAAGCAAAACTCTAGTACTGTTTGGCTTAGCATGCTGTCTTCCATTCTTGTATTTGAATAATAAAAAATTCCAAGTTTTTAACATGAAAAGTTAGCTTGCAGTCCTGCAAGTAAAAATTAAACACAAAAAATATTTTTCTTTTACAGAGCTTTACAATTCCCCCAAAATATTGCATGTAATATTTATCCACATAAGCCTTTGATGGTTTGTGATTTGAATGCCAAAATATACATTGATTCTGTACCAAGATATTTATTGATCTCATGCATTTAAATCCATGCCAATAAACCTGTTTTAATTTCCTCATACGTTTTAAAAAAAATAATTTAAAGATCCTAAATGTTTAATATTTTTTAAACAATGTCTTCAAAGGGGGTATCAAATAGGAACTTCATAAAATTTAATATACTCTGTCAAGTTATATCAGACATAAAGCATTCCATGCACAGCTCATCTTTTAGTAGCCCATTGTGGAAATAGCTGTTTAAACTATTAGTTCAGAACTAATAAACTCAAAATCATGTCATTTAAGAACATCTGATAAGAATAGATGTGATCTTGATTATTTTGTATGTAGTCTACTTTAAGCTTCTACAATAGAATGTCTAGTTAAAAGTAGGTAATGAGGTTATTGTTCATTTAAGAGTAACTGGCTGCTACCTAGCTGATGTTGGCTGATTTTTGGGGGGGACAAATACTTGGAGGCAAGCTAGAAATTCTAGGGTTTCAGGTTAGATACTGGCAGCCACCCTTTTGTGGTTACCAAGAACAATATGGTTGGTCCTTATAGTTATGTGAAAAAGAAGGTACACCCTGGGCTTTCTTTTTGTAAAATAAATGATGACATGGAGTAATATGTCAGGTTGTTCATCTGAGATAGTATTTACCTGCTTTTAAAAACTAAGGACCAGATGATTTTTACTATGTCCTGATACGTAAAACTATAGAATTCAAAGGAGGGCATACTTTCTTTTTCACAGGACTGCGTAAGTCAATAGGAGTTGGAAGTCAACTCACCGAACATGTAGAGTCATGTGATGAAGTAGCCGAAACTCAATGCTGTAATTTTTTTTATAAACTGGATTCCAATTTAATAATTTTTATAATTATTTAAGGAGTAGTATGTATTTAAGGAGTAATAACTAAGAAATTTCTTATCTTATTCTTTTGAATATCTTAGTTAAATTTGACCTAAGTTTGCAAATCTCCCCTAAACATAAAGTTCTGAAATTTGTGTAGGGGGTATACTACAGAGCCTCACTGTGAAAGAATTGTGTAGTAAATCCTGGTAATTCTAGGTACATGTTTAGTAGATCCAAGAAAAAAATGGGTATATTCTTGGGATAGCTATAGAATTTTATTTGGTCTAAGCAAGGTAGTAACAATTGTTTATTTGGTTGTTCTTGTCCTAATTAGTATTGTGATCTGGGAAAGGATCTCATCCTTTATAGTACTAGAACTCTCTTCTGTGAACCCTCTATAATATGTGATAGCGAGCTGGTGGATTTTTAATTGCTAAATTAAATTTCCTTTAATAGGAAAATAATATAAAGTAATTAATTTTTTAAGAAGTTTGCACTTTGAGATTATAGTGGGTTGCATATATATTTATCATGCACCACTTGGATAAGGAATGTGATACAGTTCTAAAAGTTTCTTCAGTTAAAATAGACTGATAGTGTAGCTGATTGCTGCAGTTTAATACTCTAAAAGTGCTGTAATGCAGTATATTTTGTATATTTGAATTCTGACTCAGAAAATTACATCTAACCGATGTTACTGTAATCAAAGCTTGTAATTTTCTTTTGATTTTACTTGTAACAAATGTAAATAAATTAAAATTGTTATGCTAGTCACAGCTTGAGATACTGATACTAACCTCAGTGACCATTGAGCAGAATCAGTTGGTGACTTTGCAGTTGCCAGTTTCAGCTGGGAAGTAGAGATTGTACTCTTCAGTACTTAATAATGGAGATACATAATTGTATTTTTACTTCTCCTGAGAAGATAAATCAGCTTGTAGTTTGCGGGTAAGTCATTAGAAAATAACTCTTCCAGTGAAATTATTAAATAGATACTTAATTGAACCAGTACTGTCATTATTCAGGTCAATTTATACTTGGCCTGAGTTGAAAGAAATTTTTGCTCACTGAAAAATATCTTAAATTTTAGTTAAAAATAAAAGTTTAAAGAAAAGGGAAGAAAACCAATAAATGCGGTCTACAATAAAAATATTTTACATTTGTATTCTCCACACAAATACTGTATAATCCTGCGAATCCTGTATAAATAATATTCAGTAAAAAAGAATAGTAACTGACAAGATTTTGGAAAATGACTTACATTTTATGTAGAGACTATGAAGCACCTAGACCCTCTAGGTTAGGGGTGTCAAACTGTTAAATTGAGGACAGCATCAGGGTTGTGTTTGACCTGGGGAGGACGGGGGGCAGCTGGACGTCACTCGTGTCTGGGCACCTGTGGTGACCCGAGGGCTCTGCCAGCGAAAACTGGCTCAGGAGCTCAGTTTTCGGCTGTGACAGCTTCCTGCAACCCTCTGCCAGTGAAAATAGAGCTTGGGAGGCCAGCTTACAATCTGTTGTTAACAACAGTCTTTCGCGCTACAGAGTACAATTAATGTAGTTCTCTACATCAGGGGTCCTCAACCACCGGACCGGTACCGGTCCGTGGAGCACTCTGTACCGGGCCGCAAATAAAAAAAAATGGCTTTCTTCGCCTTCAGTGAATGCTGCTGGGATCGGGGATCAAGGACACAAATGAGAGAAGGGGAGGGAGGAAGCAACCAAAGCCTGTCCTGCTCTCTGGCTCAGCGGCTTCGGTTTCCTCCCGCCTCGATCCTCTCTCAGTCGCTCTCTTGCTCCTCCACCAGCCCAGGAAGAAACTGCTTCAAAGAAGCCGGGGGGGTGGTGGCTTTTCCTGTCACCGCAGCACCTCCGAAGCGCCCGTTCACCCCCACCCCGCCCGCCCGCGGTTCAATCCACAGTGCTCTGTTCTGCCTGCCTGCTTGCCTTCTTCATTTCTGGTGAGAATAATAACTATTCGCCTCTTTTTATCAGCCGAAGCTGCTCCGAAACGAAGAAGGCAGGCAGAACGGAGCACTGTGGATTGAACGGCGGGGTGGGGGTGAACGGGCACTTCGAAGGTGCGGCGACAGGAAAAGCCACTCCCCCCCCGGCTTCTTTGAAGCAGTTTCTTCCTGGGCTGGTGGAGCAGCGAGAGAGCGACAGAGAGGAACGAGGCAGACACCTGAGGGAGGGAGGGAGACACCTGAGGGATGGGGCTGAGGGAGGCAGGGCCGAGGCGCTCCCTGAACTTGGTGGTTTGCTGGCAGACGTTTTATTACCCGACTAGGTAACAACGTCAGGTAATGAAACGTCTGCAAGCAAACCACCAAACTCGGATTCTCTCTCCCCCCCTCCCCTCCCCTGGTCCTTGAAAAAGTGTTTGTGCTTGAAACTGGTCCCTGGTACAAAAAAGGTTGGGGACCACTGCTCTACATGGTTTAAGATGCTTAATTATTATTTCCTAGGTCTGTATGAAATAGAAAATGTTTTTGTTTCAGATGTGAACATTACAATTCAGATGTTTTGTCAATCCATTTTGAACAGTCACCTTAGTTTTTGAAAACGCAAGTTTTCAAATGTTATGGCCATGGTATTCTATTCAAGGAAAGGGGTAATTCTTTGCTGCCGTTTTGTAACCATCTATATTTCTTCAGCCCAAATCCACAAAATCTTAGCTTTTGCATGTATAAGAGCAAACATTTTCACTTGAGGTATAGGCATTCTAGTGAAATGTGAGGAGGCCTAGGCTATACCTGATCTTGTGCATGAGAGAACACTTCCAATAAATCCTGTCCTCTAGAGCAGAAAATACTACATTACAGTCAGATTATATTTATGTATATATAATGAATTACATTTATGTTGTCAAAACACAGTGCACAAGAGTATTGTACACAATCCATACAGAACCATCTTTGCATTTTTAAAATACATTCTGCAGTTTCTATAAAGTGAAAAAAGGAGAAAGAATGAGCAACACCTATGTTCAAACTAAAGCCAATCAACCCATTGCCTTATTTTTTGCTTTCAAATGCAGTCAGTCAGAAACTCAGATGAAAGCTGACAACCCAAAAAGCCATCAGCGCAGAAATTGGGGGCGGGGAGGGAACATGGTAATATCTTGCTGAATTTAGTTATGTACCCACACTTTCATCTTGTCAATTGGGAGTTTTGAGGATGCCTTTGAAGTTGAAGAAACTGCACTTAGAGGCATTCTGAATCTCAACATCAGTGAACCATGTAGATCTCATCCAATATGCATTCAGGTGATATGAACCAGAGACACATCCGTCTGACCTCTTGCCTTTTCTGATGACTTAATAACAGATTAAGAATTTGACAAAGTGAGTTGATAGAGTAGTCAGGACACTGAGATAAGGACATAGACCTCAGTCTTCACTGCTTGTTTTGAGAAGTCCAGCAAAGGGACACTTATTTTGACATCAAATCCATTTTTAGATGTGAATTATGATTTTGCCATTCCTCTTAGCCAAGAGAACTTTGCCTTGCACTCCTTAGTTGGTGACAAAGAAGTATATAGCTGGATAACTGCTGGATTTGGTGAGACTTTTACATCAGTTGCACAAAACAAGCAGGTTCAATTTTTCTTTTTTCTCTGGAAAGCTTATGTGTGGCAATAGATCACTGGATTAGTGATCTATTAGTGTTCTTGGGCTTGCCAGGCAGAATCCCAGGCTCCAAATTCCTTGTTTTAGCTGCACCTAAATCTGATCTTCAACTAGGTTGAGCAACCAAAAGCTTTTGGGAACAGGGAGGATTGCTTCCTTCACCCTTGGATCACAAACTGACAAATGCTAATAGTCAAAAGAGTTTTGGACATTGCAGGACTGCAGTTTGATTGGGTTGCCCATGCCATGTCCTCAGAAGCAAAAGTTCTTTAAGCATTTTGAAAAAAATTGGTTATTTCTGTACTTGAGATTCATTGCAAAGAAACTGAAGTGCATGCATGCCCAATCTATCATCTGAAGGGTGCCATATTTTATATTTGATGCCTTGGACCATTCTGCCACTTGCCACCTGTTGCAACCAGCATGTAAATATATTGCTTTGCCTAACAGCAGAAACCTTACTATTAATCAACAAAACAGGCACCCAGTACTGCTATAGGTGGAAAGGAGACCCCAATTATGTTTAAACGGGAAATTTGTGAGATCGAAAGATGCCCCATATCCTTCTATCTGTAGGAGTTGTAGGCCAAAGGCATGAGTCTTTAAAGGGCAAGTGCTTCCATCAGATTCTGTCCTTGGCATATCCACTTGATAGTAGATGGTGTGATGGGATGTCTGAAGTGGATCTATGACAATCCGCTATGGCCAGTTCACCGCAGCCAACTCAACCACTGCCAACTCGCAAGTCAGCATGGGACAACTCGTCACGGGACATGAGTTGCAAAATTAAAATATTTTTAAGATTATTTTAAATAATTGAATTGTTGAAT